CTTTAGGGAGAGTTGCTGGGGGATGTTGCTTATCGCAGATTTGAATTTATTTAAATGTACCCTTTTGGAATCAAGGATAAATGTTTGGCTGCAGCAGACATTTGGCATCCTTTTAATAAGAATTCAAGAATGGTGTGGTCGCTTTTACCCTGGGGTCATCTCTTGTTGTAACACTATCTACCAGATCATTTTTGTTGATTAGTATTAGGTCTAGTATAACTGTTCCCCTTGTCCTTTCTGCTGGAGGAAGTTACTGGCTACACATGTGAGGAATCTCTTGGAGTGCCCATGTTTGGCTGAATGTGTCTCCCAGCAAATGTCAGGGAAGTTCAAATCACCCATGATGACCTCGTCATGTCTTGTTGCCACACTGGCTTCTTGTTTTCCAAAGATAATGTCTTAGTCTTCATTTTGATTTGGTGGCTGGTAGCAGATGCCGATGGCTATGTTGCTTTTGTTTTTTGCTCTTTTTAGGTTGACTCAGATGCATTCACTGTGACTATTTAGCTCCTCCTCCTGTAATTTATTGCAGATATAAGTCTTCCTAACGTATAGTGTGAATATTCCTCAATCCAGTACCCCTAGATGACAACTCCTATCTTCCCTAGCTGGTGGGAATTATCATAAGAATTATCATTCAAGGCATCTGGGAGGCATCAGGGTAGGGAAAGCTACTTTAGATATTCAAAGCCAATGGAACATCATTTTTCTTTCTCCATCAGATTTCTTCAACATGTGATACTGAGAATGCTCAAGTGCAACAACATACACTCAGTACTGCAAATGAAGCATGGTCCTCTTTAATTTGCCTGCGTTTTCTATTGGATTTTATTATTATATTTAAACGATAATTCTAAATTCTGTAAAAGAGGATCAGTTTCTGCTCCAAGTGCTATTTAGAAATACAGAGGGAAATACCATGGTATTTATTGAGGGAAACTTGTAGTGTTCAAAAGACCAGCAAAGCCAGCAAGAAAGAGCACGTTCAGTTTCTCCCTTTCCAGTAAATCTCCTTAGATTACCCATACAACTATCAGAAAAAGTTGGCTTTATCCCAAAGCAGCAACATGTCTTTGTTCAATAAATTAAATAAGCTAAACAAATAAATAAAATCTAATGGCTATACTGAACTCACCGAAGGGGGAAGGAAGCACACCTTTAAGCTCCCTAATTCAATGAGGGAGGGAGTTACACAGGTAGCCCTGCATGGGCGCAGTTCCACAGCACTTGTGCTTTGGTACCCAGATATCACAGCACTGAACCTTTGATATGGGACCTCTGCCCAGCATTTATCTCCATAACTTTTAAGCACGCGTAACCTCATTGTCTCCATTACCACCAGTGGCACCCAGATGTATCGGAGCAGAGCATGAAGAAATGAACAATGCGTTGACCTCTTGCTCTAAATAAGACTGCCCCAGTGTTCCAGGAACAAGGGAGAGGAATTTAATATATTACTTGGCTGCCATTTTGGACAGCAACCCTCTACTGAGCATAAACTAGAGTTTTGTTCTTTGTTCACAGACCAAATTGGTATGGTAGTAATTATCTTCAGATGTTCTGTTGAAGAAATTTAAAAAATCCCTGCAGATGAACAACATGGAATGTTTAACCTAAATATAGTAATTTATTTTGCAATGACTCTTGGGGCACGTAATGATCTGTGGTACACATGTGTGTGTAAACACTACGTAACTTCATTGAAATCAAGAGAATTATGACTGTGGATTTTCAGCTATAGAATTAGGCCTCAAGCTCAGCATATTAGAATACTTATCTTCCAAGCACAATAACAGGACAGCCAACTTTTTCGGAGCGAGAGGAACAGCCTGGTTTCTCAAAGAACAATTTCTGTTAGCAATCAGTGTACATTTATATCAGCCATGTGGGCTTGTATGACAAGTTTGTTCCATCAGCTAGTCATCATTATGTACTTAAGACTCTGTCAGCATTTCCAGTGTAAACCAAGAGTATCAAAGGGTTATAGCTTGGAATTATAATTCCTCTGACAGTAGTAGACTTCAGTCACTTGAACAGATTTCTGAAAGTTTGTGTGTGTGGAGGGGGGGCATGTTAAAAGTTTCTGATTCATTCAAATATTGTTCAAAATACTTTAGATTTAAATTTAGAAAATAAATTAGGGTGCAGTCAAGTACCAGCCAGGCACTATCCACAGTTGCTCACTGGGTTTTCCTCTTCGCACAAGGAAACACAAGCCTAAGCCTAAAGAGCCATTTGAGGAGCTGATGTCCCCATCCCAAATGTGCATGATATCCATGCTTAGAAGAATGGGATCAAAAGGATGCTTGCTTAAAAATGGTTGCTGGAAAGCCTGTTGCATTCCATAGAGAGGTGTGATATGTGGATGACCATCTGTTGGAATAGACCATTTATGAGGCAATTTGTTCACTGTTTCTGAAGAATGGGCAGCTGTTTGACTGTATCATGAATGTCTTCACTTGTGATGATACATAGTGCTGAAATGCCAGAATGGATTTCAGGCTGAATTTATGAAAAATTGTAAATCAGCTAAACATTGTGGATCTCATTCTTGCATATGAAAAAGAATTGAACTGGAAAATTAGAAGCATACTAAATAGAGTACTACAGCATAAATCAAACTGGGCTAGGTAGAACACAATTACATTTTATAAGACACACAAGTATCTGTTACATTCTTTATGTTGAAATAATTCTTGATTGTAGAAACTGGTCATTTGGTGAAACATATTTCATTAACCATTCCTGGCTCTTGCCTTCACTCCCTGCAGCTTTCTTTGATGTATCTCTTAATTGATTAGCCAGTTTTCTCCACATATGTTATGAGCCCCCATTCCAGCCAATCAAGACACTGAGCAAAGTGGTTTTATTCTGTTGGCCATCTTCCCCATGCAGCCTTCCACAGAGAATAAGCGTTAGAGAAAGCCTTTCATCATAGATCTGAAATCATATGGCTATGATTTCTACTTTTGGTAGATGTTCTTGTTCCTTTGTATTCCCAGGTTTATCATGCTTCTGCAACTACTAGGCATAACATATATCATGGTCTCGGGTGTGCAGTCAGAACATGGCCATGGGCCAGAGCCAAAGTAAATCCACATGTAGTTCCAACAGACTTATAGAATGAGGTTTTGCCAGGAGTTCCTGAGACAAGCCTAGACCAGAGTGCCAGACAGTTTCTTGGATACAGTCCTTGTTCACTAGGGTAGAAAAACATATTGGGAAGCAGGTCAGGAAGACAGGCCAGGTTCCAAGGTACAGACATGGACAGACAGCCAGGCAAACAGCTTGAAGACATAAACCAAGAGCCCCACTGCAAAGGATGCTTAGATAGAAATTAAGCCTGGATTTCTCACTAGGCTTAATTGAACCCAGCGGCAACCAATCCTACAACTGGTTGGTAAACAATGGGCAGGGCTGAAGAAATATACAAAACAGGTCAAGAATCATCCAGTGCTCCATGGACTCAGTCCTAATGCCAGGACTTAGCTACTGTCAAAGGTCTACTTCCAGTCAAATGCTCTGTGGGTAACTCTGCCTTTTTTACTTGTTGGTGTTGAAATATAGCTAAGATTGAGAGCCAATGTGGGAGAGCCAGTATGGAGTAGTGGTTGTGTTGGACTAGGAACCAGGAAGATCCAGGATCTAGTCCCCACTTGCTCATGAAGTTCACTGGACGATTTTGGACAAGTTACTCATTCTCATCCTAACCTACTTCACAGGACTGTTGATGTGGGAATAAAAAGCAATTTCTGTAAGCTGCCTTAGGTTCTTCACAAGAAGAAAAAAAGGCAGAATGTAAATATAACATAGCAATAATACTGTTACGTGATTATTGATGGACTCCAACATAAGAGATGCTTAATGTCTAGCTTGGTTAACTGTTCCTATTCGGTGAGCTAGCCAAAATATGACAAATTATGGCTTCGGATGTTTGGCAATACTCCTTTGTGGCTGTTGTAGATAATGATAATAAAAACATTTATTGTCAGTCACAATGAAACTCTGTCCACAGTTAAAAGGCAAGAAGAGGGCTTCACATCCAAGATCAAGCTGGGTAAAGAGAGTGCAAGGCCTGCTCTGAATCTCTTAACTATTATTAACTGTTTCATTGGCACCAATCCATTTGGTTTGATCATTTTTCTCCTAGCATGGCAGCCAGAAATTCTGCACCAGAAATTATTTTGATATGCAAATAGATGATCTGGTGGGGTTTCATAAATAACAATGCAATGGCGGGTCAAGGAAGTCACTTGATATTGGTGCAAGAGCCATTTGTTTATGGCTCTTACAGGGATTTACTTGTATATTTGCTTATTGCTCACTGCTTTTCTGTGATGAAAAAAGTGACATTAGGAATAATGATGAACAGCCTAGTTTTGCTTTTCTTTGCTTCAGCTTGCTGCTTGGATATTACTTTCAGCATTTTAAGGGTAACATATTCTATTTCAGGGACTGCAGGTGGCGCAGTGGTTTAAACCGCTGTGCTGCTGGGCTGGTTGACCAAAAGGTCGCCAGTTCGAATCTGCACAACGGGGTGAGTTCCCGTTGCTCCATCCCAGCTCCTGCCAACCTTGCAGTTCGAAAGTATGCAAATGCAAGTAGATTAAAAGGTACCTCTTTGGTGGGCAGGTAACAGCGTTCCGTGCACTTCGGGGTTTAGTCATGCCGGCCCCATGACCACGGAAACTGTCTGCAGACAAACGCTGGCTGCCTCGGCTAGGAAACGGAGATGAGCACCACCCCCTAGAGTCAGGCATGACTGGACTTAATGTCAAGGGGAAACCTTTACCTTTATTCTATTTCATCCTTGGATAAGTGTGCATGTATTATTCATTTCTGATGCATCTAGCTAATATTTGGCATTCTGAGATAGCATATCTGAATGTATGTCCTATAACTGTATGATCAAGCTGAGATGATGCTTCATTATTGCCTGGAAATAATAATGAAGTTATATTAATGATATTACTTTCTTGAATTGTTTTTTTCCTTTACAGAGTGTGAATATAGAAAAGCTACAAGGGTCATCTGTTATCATTTCTACCAAAAATGGTTTATTAAAAACCAAATATCTTTATGCAGAATCTTCATGTCTGTCTTCAACAGCTGGTGATGTTCTCCTGGGAAATGTTCATGGTAAGATAGCGAAAGATTCTGGTCAACAATTAGAGCAAGTGCCTTTTTAAGGAAAAATATTCTTCTCTGTGCCTCTTAGAGTGCTTGCCCATGTTTATGAAACCGAACAGTATAACCATCTTTTAAAAGTGCTTGAGAAATTTCCAGAGTAAAATGAGTGTTAGAAAGACAGCATCATATTAATGTGTAAATGTAGGTAAGGCATTTGTAAGGTCTCTGGTCTTTTCTTGATTTCCAGATACAAGCTAGAAAGGAGGCACAGTTCAATAGAGCAATTAAGGCTGCAGTCCAACACTCTGAATTAAACTCCACTGAACAGTGTCGAGTTTATTTCTGAGCAAGCATGCATAGGTGACCCAAACACACATTTAAAGTGGCATACAAGAGTCACACCTGATCTCATAGTCTGTTGGGAATGAGCGTATCATTGTAGCTCTTGATGTACCTACAGAAAGGGGTGGCTGAGATACAGCAAGAATTGAAATAGGACTGCAGGGTCACAACAACATATATGGAATGTTTTGGACTGGCAAAACAACCTATGGCTGCAGCTAGGAAGCATGCTGGGCAAGAACCTCAAGAGTTAGTGGTGAGGTATAAATGTTGGGCAATAAAAAAAGATCTTGCTTCACAGAAAAATCCTGCATAGATCCTGAAGCTAATTGATTATCAGTTGGCATGTCTGTTCAAGATGTTTCAGAATGCAATTGCCTTGCTTCACAGAAGCTAGTTTTGGAGCAGTATTGTCAGCAACAGTTATTTATTTAGGACCTTTCTAACATGGACTTCCCAGACAATACCCCATCCAGGTACTGACCAGACCTAGATGAGCATGGCTTTGGTAAGATGGTTGTATCATCTGCCCTCAGACTACATCCTGGGAATTAAGACCTTTGGTCTTGTGAATTTTCATTACAATGCAATTGCTAGCCATTTTTTCTGCTTTGAATGAAGTAATTCCCTTCATAGTTCAATTTTTTTAAATCAGCAACAAAATCATCCTGTTAGACTTAGGCTGATAGCCTATTGTAGTCAATTCCAGATACAATATTAAAATAATACAGTTATCAAAATACCATATATACTGGCATAGACAAGGTTGGGCTATTTTTCTTGCATTTATCATATGTCGGGCATATAGATTCTTATACGCTGGTATACACTGGTATTTGTCAGCTGGAAGCTTCTAGACTCTCGGTATGGCATGTTACCATTTTCTGGCTAAATAGTCATGTTCCCAATTTCACTTGAAAAGGTTTTGTGAAGTCGGAAGCCAGTGGTGGCCTGCAAGGGGGGTGGCTGACTGGGGTTGATCAGGGAGGACAGCCATGGGTACAGAAGGGCATGGTGGGGTGGAAAGAAGGGAGGAGGCCTGCGTGGGCAGCACTGTGCCTCTCCACAGATGGCTGCGAAGGGAACACAGCTGCCACAGCCAGCCTGGATTGGCATGTGCCTTCTCCCCAGCAAGTGTGGGGCAGTGCTGGACTTGGGACTTGACTCGCGCTCACGCACAAGGCTCCCAACGTGACCCAATACAGGACTGGCTCCCCAATACCAGCAAGAAGGGCTTTTTGTGATAATTAATAAAAATGAGCTTGCAAATACAATGGTCTTTAATCATTTTTAAAGGGGATAGATCATAATGTAATACGATGAAAATGTTTTACTTGGCGTATAAGACAACCTTCACTTTTTGCCTCACTATTTCTGGCTTCAAGGGTCATCTTATATGCCAGTATAAATGATCAAGCTGGCAGTCGCTGTAATGTGATCACTCTTAGGAAGATGGATATCTGTTGGGGCTATGCAAAAACTGGACAACCATCTTCAGGGTTGTTTTAAACTGGATTGATTCCTGCACTGAGCAGGCGGTTGGAATTCATGGCCTACGTGGGCTCTTCAAACTATGATTCTATGTTTCTATGATATGAGACAAATACAATCCATCCTTCTTTGGCTATAGAACAAAGAAAAGCCTCTGAGTTTATTTATTTATTTATTTAAAATATTTATACCCTGCCCTATAGACAAAAGCATTGCTGGATAGTCTCCTTACTATATCGTGTAGATAAGCTGATATCACAAGACAGCATCACTATGAATATAATTCAACAATGATAGAAAATCCAAGAGCAAGAATGAAGTTCAGTGGCTTAACAAACCTTTCTTTGTAAACTTATTTGTTCCTGTGTTACTGTAGTGATGTGTGAATGCTGGTTCAGTATGGCCATTTTAGCAGTGGCAGGCAATGGAAAAATGAGGGTTAAAAAAGGATGCAATTCTTTCTTGGACCAATATTGCTATGCTGATGTGGGAAGGAGGTTGGAACACTGTTGTATATTTGAATGTGGTCTACATATTTGCAGAAATTAGTGTTATGAATGATTCCTGGCATTGTGCAGACTTCTGGCCATGCATATTTTGTTGGAAATGTGTCTCTGCTGTTTAGGCTGGCATGGCAGAGCCTAACCAATCCATTGCCAATGTCTCTAGCATCCTGCAGGAAGCATCCTCTGCTTTGGTTCAGTGGTTCTCCTCTACCGTTGGGAGTATCCTGTATGTTGGTTATATTGGTGGTCAGAACGTGGGTGTGCGGTCCCTCTAGTGGTACTTTCCCAGTCTCCTGATGTGCAGATTTTCCATGTGCTTGAGGCATTCAGTCATGATGACTCACAGAAGCTTGTGCTGAAATTGAAGACTGCCCATCCTGACAAGCCCTGAAAAGTTCAGCGTTATGGCACCAGTACAATGAAGCATTATTTTTTTTAGCAAGTTAGAACCTTGCTTGAAAAATTCTTAATCGCTGCCTCCCACTTCTTCAGCCCTTATTTTATTTAAAATCTCTCACATTTTTAAACTTAACTGAATGCTGACTTAAACTCCTGGCTGTCATCCAACCCTTTAAATAGAGCCAGACCAACTGGGCACATATAGGCTTGAATAAATAAATACAATTTTATTTTTTAAAAGATGGAAGCATGAATATATTTAGCAGCTATGTAGAATGCTGGCCAGTTTGCAATGTCTCATTCAGAGTTTCCAACTGATAGATTCCTAATGCAAACAACTTTCATAAAGGTCTACAGTGGATGTGTTAAACTTAAGCATAAAGAACCTGTGTAAACTGTTTTTATACTTCCCCTTGTAATAACGTGTTGTATTTTTCAGTTGGAGTACAGAAAAAAGGCAAATACAGTAGTATTCAGTTTAAAAAAGATAACATGAAGAGCACTTCATGTTTATCTTAAGAACAGTGTTAATGAAATGTTACTGGAACTCTGTAAATTTCAACAAACATTCTTTCTATACAATATTATGTTTGAAATAGCAAACATTAATCACATCTCTGAGGCTGCAGTCATATGCAGAATTAATTGGGTGTAAACGCCACTGATCTTAATGGAACTTACTTCTGAGCAGATATGTGTAGGATTATGCTGCTTATTTATATTTTATGAGAAATTAGAATTATACAGAAACCGCAAGAAATAAGTAGATCTTACTTTATCCTAGTACATAAATGAAGCTCTCTCAATAATATGCAGGATTGGTTGGGCCCTTTCTGTGGGCCACTATAAAACCTGAATGAATCAACAAATTTAGACATTTTCTTTGTCGGGATTACTTTTTAAAGGATCTTTTAAAACCTAGATTATTGACTTTGCTTTGCATGTTTCTAAAGTCATGTTTGGGAAGTTCCTATGTAATTGGAGAAGTTAGTCTTGAACCATCGTGGTCATCTGGTTTGAAATAGTTAAGAAAATCCAGCTTGCAATCCATCCTAAATATGTCTGTGTGGAAAGATGTCTAATGATCTCAGTGGAAATTCCTTCTGTGGATTGTTGTTTAGGATGACAAACTATGTCCCTCATGGCCTGCACCTCATCTGATAATCCAAGTTTGTGGTGTACATCAAGGGATGGGAACTTGGCTCTTGAGAAGTTCTTACATTCTAGCTTTCAAAAGGCAGCATGGATATTGGGCAGGGATGATGAGAGTTGCAGTTCCCTCCAGTTCTTGATATACATAGTTGAGTAATTTGCAAAAATGTAGTGTAGGGCATGACATGCTGGCATTATTACATGCATGTTTTTAACTGGTTACCTAAATATTTCAAGACAGGAATGGTCTTCAACAGTTTAGCATCCACATGTAAAGATAGCTGCTCCCTGTTTTGAATATTCTAAGAAATTAACAAAATAAAACTGTGGTGGTTGTTGTTACATACCATCAAGTTATCTCTGACTTATGGCAACCCTATGAATGAATACCTTCCAAAGTGTTTTGGCCTTCTAAACTCAAGGCTGTAGCTTTCTTTTTGGAATTGAGCCATGTAATATTTGGTCTTCTTCTTCCACCTTCAACTTTCCCTATCATAATTATCTTTTCCCATGAGTCTTACCTTCTTATGATGTGCCCAAAGCACAACAGCTTCAGTTTTGTCATTTCTGCTTCCAAGCTTGGTTTGATCCAGGACCCACTTTTTCATCTTTCGGATGGTCTGAGGTATTTGAAAGCCTCTCCTCCAGAACCATGCTTTGAACTTATTAATTTTCTTCCTGTCAACTTTCTTCTCTGTCCTTCTTTCACACCCATACACAGTGATTGGGAATACAATAGTGTGGAAGACTTGCCCTTGGTCTTCAGTGAAATAGCCTTACACTTGATGAGTTTTCCTAGTTCTGTACTGCTTCCAGAAGCATCTATCTTACGATTTTTGAATAAATTTTGGAGGGCTTTATTTAGTCCTGCCATAATACTCATGCTTAGAATGATCTAAGCAGGAGTGCAGGGGCCAAACTGAGCTCTACAGATTTCCTAAATACCTACATCCTTCAATCTCCAATTATTTAGTGGTTTTCCAGCTTTTTGTTCAGTTTTATGCAGTCCCCCTCTCCCATTCTAGAAGGTTGAAAAGCCTCTCCACATGCTTAGTTACTGGAAGGAAGAGCCTTAAGCTAAACTGGGCTGTTATTTTTGTTACTTTGCTTCTATATGTTTTGCCCTCAACACCACTCATTGGCCTTTAGTCACATCCATTACTGGAATGCAGCCCTAAAAAGCTTTGCTGAAATGGAATTTGGCCCTCAATTTGTAAGGGGCTTTGCACCCTCATCATTACACATACATGAGCCCTGTTCCAACCACCCCTCCCACTGTGTGTGTTGCACATGCATGCACACTTTGCACAGTAAGTTCTAGGGAAGGAGAGAACCAATGCTTCTCCCATTTAGCATTCCTCAAAAAATGCAAATCCAAGGCCTACCTATTCGTTAGGTTAAAATGGCAGCCGCATCTGTTTCTTTGTTTTTTAAAAAATCTTGGTCATTGGAAGTGGCAACTTCAGATCTGCAGTGTGCAGAAAGGGGGAATTTAACTTCTTTCCCCAGTCATTATTTCAATTGCAGTATGTAGCAATTGATCAAGTGGTGTGGAGAGGGCTGCGTAGGATCATTTGTGTTATGTTTTATATTATTTTATGTATGTAAGCCGTCCTGAGGCCTTTGCGACAGGACGGCATATAAATATTCTACATCAAATAAATAAATAAATAAATAAATAAATAAGGGAGTGCAGTGCTGGCTTCAGTTTTTCATGGACTCACAGAATCATAGAATTGCAGAGTTGAAAGGGGCCAGAGGGCCTGCATGTGCTCAGTGCTCAGTGCAGGACTCCAAGTTAAGAGATCTTCAGTGGGATCCCTTTCTTAGAGAGTCTTACAGCTGATTTATCCCCCATACTTTGCATGCTTGACAGGTAGAGTCAGTGGTGAGTGAGTAGGCAGTGACATCTGCAGCTCTTTTCACTATGGCTATTGCCTGGGACAGAGTATGAGACAGGTAAACAAGCAAATGCAATGGTGAAGGAAGAGGAGCAACTAAAGGGGATCATGTTGGTTGTGGGCTCTTGGCAGTTGCCCAGCCATACCTGCTCAATCCTGGACCTGTATGGTAACCAGGTTTGTGACAGAAGAGAAAGTAACCAGGTAACCAGGTGTGTGACAGAAGGGAAAGATGCCACACTCTGTTGCAGTCTGTGCTACCCCTCTGTATTTGGGTGCCACAGTTGTAGTAGAACTGGACTGAGCTTTAGCTATTTTTCACTGTCTCAATTTTTGCTAATTACTCTTTTTTTGATTCTCAGTTCAGAGTTAAAGACCAGATGGATTACTGAGCCTTTCTCTCAAATTCTTCCCATGCATATCATCAGGTTTTTGTTGAGGAACTGAAGGATTCAGAAACTCAAAGAGAGGGGTATATTATTTATGACCTCAGTTTGTTCATGAAGGTTAGGCTTGTAGCTAAATAGCCGTAGATAAAAGTTAGGCAAACCTGTATTAAAAAAAAGTTCTTACAACTGCCAATAAAAACAGGAAAGATTAAATTGCTTCTGTCAATGATACATTATTACTGCCAACATTCTGTATTTGCTGAATGTCAGCACTAATACAAAATAAACAAATTGGCTAGAGTTAAGACTTGCCCTCCCCAGAATATTTAGATGTAAGGGTTGGTTAGTATAAAAATTATAGACTTAAATACTGTACTGGTGGAACCAAACAAGTCTTGGAGACATTCATCTTTCAAAACAGCAGATTGTAATTTGATTTGGAGGACAGGGTTCATCTTAAAATGTTTATTATTGCTTAAGGATAGCGTTAGATAGTCATTAACCAAATGAAATAGTGAACCTTAATTGAAAGGGAAAATTGAAAAGGAAATTGAAAAGTATTGACCCCCTCCCCCACCTCTTCCTCAAAGTCAAACAATAGGACATGTGCTGTTCTAAAGAAAACAGTTTTGTTAGGGGACTGTCGGGGTAGAGCTGTAAGCGCCAGTCTGAGATAAGCCTGGAGTTTGTGCCAGAAAACAGAATCAAAGAGCATGCCAGGACTTGGAACACAGCAATAAGCAGCCATCAGAATCAAGGAGTAGTCAGGAACAAAAAAAAAGTAAGGACTGAAGGCCAAACCAAGAGGCAGGATGATCAGAAGACAACCAAAGGATATGCAGTAATGCTCCAGAAATGCTCCTGACACTCAGCCAAGGTTTCACTGAGACAGGAAGTCCTTCCTGATAGCCAGTCTGCTTTGGGAAAGGCCACTGGGTACTCACTACCTGGGCAGATTCTGTGACTCACCACACAGTTGTCTGCCCACCGGTTGAAGTCTTCGTAAGATCCTGATTGGGACACAATCAGGATTTGAGGTCCATATGAAAATTAGGGTTGTGTTGTTGTTGTTGTTAGTTGCGAAGTCACGTCCAACCCATCGGGACCCCATGGACAACATTCCTCCAGGCCTTCCTGTCCTCCACCATCACCCAGAGTCCACTTAAGTTTACACTGACTGCTTCAGTGACTCCTAGCCACCTCATTCTCTGCCATCCTCTTCTTTTGCCTTCAATTGTTCCCAGCATTAGGGTCTTCTCCAATAAGTCCTTCCTTCTCATTAGGTGGCCAAAGTATTTGAGTTTCACCTTCAGTATCTGGCCTTCTAAAGAACAGTCAGGCTTGATCTCCTTTTTGTCCAAGGGACTCACAGGAATCTTCTCCAGCACCACAATTCAAAGGCCTTAATTCTTCGGTGCTCAGCCTTCCTTATGGTCCAGCTTTCACATACATTTGCAACTGGGAAAACCATAGCTTGACTAAATGCACTTTTGTTGGCATGGTGATGTCTCTGCTTTTTAGTATGCTGTCTAGATTCACCATAACTTTCTTCCCAAGGAGCGTCTTTTAATTCCTTGGCTGCAGTTCCTATCTGCGGTGATTTTGTAGCCCAGGACAATGAAATCTGTCATTACCTCCATTTTTTCCCCATTTATTTGCCAGGAAGTGATAGGCCCAGATGCCATGATCTTAGTTTTGTTAATGTTGAGTTTCAAGCCAACTTTTGTGCTCTCTTTCACCCTCATCAAGAGGCTTTTTAGTAGCTCTTCACTTTCTGCCATTAGAGTGGTATCAGCTGGATTAAAGATTGTAGACCAGCCCAGAACACTTTCATAAATTGACTCTCTGTTTGGATACACTGATACTACATGGAGTTAATAGGCATAATTCCTTTTCCCGTTCCTCTTGCCTTACCCCCAAGTAGATGAATTGTTTAAGAGTCCCAGCTAAGTCGTAGAAGGGATGGCGTGAGGATCTACTTGCACCCATCTCTAGTTTCATTCTAGGTTGCTTGCTTTTGTTGCTGACCAATCTGCAACGTGCAGAGTTCCATACTGCAGAAGGCTGCTGTATCTTGGAGGTACTGTGGGGAAGTCGAGCATTAGGGTGCACTGACTTCTCCTCTGTTCTTCCCACTGCTTGTGAAAAGTGTTAGAACCAAATCTTGCCTATGATCTGCCAAATAAACAGCAGAATTGCAATTACTGCAAGAATTGCCAAGCAGTTAGCCAAACTCAGGGTCTTCAGGCAAGCTGTTATGCAAAAGGCATTCCTCATGAATAAAATGAAACGAACACAAATCTGAAAAGAATAGAAACCGGTCTTACATGTTCAGTCTGGATTTGTTGTGACCCATGTTCTTAGGGACCATCAGTAAAGTGAGCCATGCATCAAAAGAGAGAAGCTGTGGTTATAATGGCTTTAACCACTCTAATTTTCCCATTTTAATTTGTAACATTTTGCCCAAACAAAACAAAATAAAAGAATTCAGTTGATAATGTGTTTGAATTTGTTTTATTTTGCTTCAATTTATAGCCATGAAACTATTTATACAAACTATTATCTGTTATTTTAATCTGCACAACCTCTGTAAATATTGATTTAGCCCATAGATAACATTTGATTCTGCTTGTCTGTGTATTTGTATATTGCAAAAAAGAAACTCTGAAAAGTTCAATCTGGTATATGTATATCCAGAAGTCCCACTGATCTCAGTGGAGATTACTCTTAGGTAAGTAGATGCTTGGTTGCCACTAAAGTCAATATATAGTTAGCTCGGTATCCATCCAATTCACCATGTTGTATTATTGTGCAGCATGAAATAACATTGTAATTTATTAAGGTGCAAACTGTTTTTCTAACATTCTTGCAGGTGACACTACTATTCAGACTGAAACAGGAAACATCACAGTTGGTAAGTAGTTTTGGTTTTGCTTTTAGTCAGTACTATATAACTGCATTCTTTGCTATGAATTTACTTGCAAATAGTTTCACAACTCCAACATTGTTTGGTTGTAGTCCATAATAAAGTGCATTATAGCAGCCTTGAAGTTAAGCTGGCTGCCTTCCTTGCTGGACCTACTTCTCAAGTATCTCTGGCAAATTTGTCTTTTGAAAGCTGCATCAAGTTAATTTGAAATAAGGAGTAGGGGTAGGCAAAAACGTTTAGGAAATATATACATGGTTTATATGTATTGTGCTTTTCTGATGTATGGCCAACTTTCAAGAGTTTTAGCAAAGCATGTGCTGGTAAAAATGGCCAGAAGACAATTGTGATCATGAAGAGACAGTGACCATTCTGTCCTCATGCCCGGGCCTTCTCTGTATAGCCATTTCTATTCTTCGTTCTTTCCCAATGAGACCTGAGTTTGCTTTCTGTTATTGTTCCCACTATCAGGCATCTGGTACCAGTATGAGCTCATAATGCTTGGAGTTTCTCATGAGCAGCTTGTTCATTAATGTTGGTTTTGGGTAGTCCTGGACAAGGGTGTAGTGGAGGGGGTCTTTGAGAGGTTAGAGTGGCTCTACTTATTTTGGGGGGGACCTTCAGGGGGGTTGCTGGATTTCTGAAGCCAGGATTACTGTTCCTCTCCTACTGCCTCTCAAGAGACTTAATTTTGCTGGTTCATGGCTGGCAGCTGCCACTGTGTCAGAGTCCTTAATTTAACAGGTTAAGAACAGGGGTGGGTATTTTTTTGTTTTTACAATTCCCAGCAGTTCCTGTGAATTACCTACCTGCAGAGGCCTGCCAGGCATGTCAATGTGTTTTCTGTGCACTGATTCCTGTTGCTAGTAAAGTAGCCAGGAATGAAAATCAGTCAGGATGGATGGCCAAACCAGGAGGCCAGATGGCCAAAAGAAAACCCAAGGAAGCACAGTAGTGCCTAAGGTCAGGAGTACCTTGTTGCTTAGGCAAGGCTTGACTGAGAGAGGATGTGCTCCCTGCTCAGGAGGGTCTAATGGCCATGCTGATGTGGGAAAAGCCACTGGTGACACACTGCCTAGGCAGATGCGAAGGCCACTTAAACTGGGTTTGAGGCCTGCATAGAAAATTAGGGTAAGGACCGAATTATAGATTGCAGGTCAATTCAAAGTATTTTCTTAAATTGATTTCCCATCATACTGCTTATTGTGCTGAATGTCTCCATGCCACTTTATATAGCATTGGAACTTAATTACTTTTCCAGCATCTTGTGGCTGAACAATCTTGCACTGTTAGTGGGGCTGAACTGCTGCCATCAGTGCAAGAAAAGTCTCAACACAAGTTAATAGTGGAAACTGCCAAATAAGACAGCTTTCAAAGGTTTCCTTCTGATTTTCTCAGATGCATTAATTTATGAGACAGAGTTAAATACAGCAGGCTATGTATAAACCATCCATCTGGTGACTAATGGAGTTTCCATTGTTAACTAGAGCCTGTACTTAGGCTAACAGTTAACAATAAAAAGTTTCATATTTCAGCTTTGCATGTTTTAGTGGTTGTATGACTTTATGGGTTATTGTTGAGATGTTTAAGTGTTGGCTAAGTTATTATAGTTCTAAAAGCTGCCATTAATTTTTAAAAGGCTATATTTTTGATTTTGTGGTAGATTTAATAGAACCAATATGACCTAAATGGTAAAGGAGCCTAACAAAAAGAAGCATTCAAAACCCTATTAAAAGAGAAGCCTATCTCATTCTCATTCTCATTCTGTGTGTGCCTCATGTACACACATATGCAAAATATGCTAAATAATTTATTTATTATATATTATTATTAATAGTTGTATGGTATATGCATCTATTTAACACTAATTTTGTATTATTTTGCTATAGACATATATAAAACAGTTATAAAACCATTAAAATATAGCACCGATAATTAACAAAGTGGGCAGCACAATCACACAGAGAAGGGCTCGGTGGAAAGATGGGCCCTTCATTGGATTGGGCATGCTACCTGCCTCTTAGATGCATACCTTAATGTGGCGAAAAGGTTCGGGGGAGTCATAGTGGCCAAGAGGAAGACTGTCAGGCGGTAAGACTAGGCTGGTCTCCTAGCAGGGTCATTCAAGGCAGAATGGTCAGATGTAAGGTGCATCCACCTTCCTCAAGAATAATGGCCACACATCAGCAAAGACAATAGACATCTCTAGTGGTGGTAGAGGCAGAGAAACTCCTCAAGAGCAGCTACTGGGCCGTCACAGCATCAGTTGAATGAAGATTTTTGCTTAGCTTGCCTCCATCATAATTTCAGATAGAGACTATAGCCAAGAAATTAGAAGACTGAGACCTGGAAGTGCCTCAATGAAGGTAGTAGAAAAAGGCATCAAATGTATGGTTCACTGGAGACCAAGGACAAGCTCATTCACATTATTATATTCCCAAATCCAGGCAGAAAGAAGAATTAGGTGTTTGAAATACAGTGCTGGAGGAGAGCTGTGTGAATACCCTGGACCAACAGAAAGATGAACGCATGGGTCCTGGATCAAATTAAGCCAGAACTTTCCCTGGAAACAAAAACAAAAAAAAAATGAAGCAGTCATACCTCAGGCACATTATGGGAAGGCAAGACTCACTGGGGAAAACAGCAGTGCTAGGGAAAATTGAAGGAGGAAGAGTGGGAAGACCAAAAAGTGATGGCTCAATTTCATAAGGGAAGCCACAGCCTTGAGTTTGTGAGACCTGATTAGGGAATGGACAGGAAGGCATTCATTCACAGGGTTGCTATAAGTCAAATGGTGTGCATTCCCCAAGCCTGTTGATTGGGATTCGGAGGAGGGGAAGCTGCAGGGGGAGGCCTTGGAATGTGTGAATGAGTCCTTATCTCAAGGCCACACTCCCCAGGTGCTCAGGTAACCTCTGAGAATAATTTAAGATGCACAGCTATCAGAAGGGGTTTTGGAACATGGGAGTTGCATAGGGACAGATGAAGTGGGTATGGCTCTCCACCCCATGGTGTGACATCAGCAGAGGAGGATGACCCAGTTAGAGGAGCAGTGTGCAGAAAGGAGGCATGCACATTTCCAAAAGGCCCCTCCCAAAAAGATGAGGCCCAAACCTACTCATAAGGAGAGTTCCTAGAAGTAAATACTAGATTTGGGTTCAACAAACAACTCTGTGCATGCTCAGAGATTCATTCGGGGTGATTGTGCTTCTCAAAAATACACTGGTCAATAAAGAATGTTTTATTGACCAGTGTATTTTATTGACCAGCAAGAGACATCTGTGGCTTGCTTTTCCAATAGTTGATGGACAAGGAAGCAGGAGCAAAGCCTGGTCCCTTGCTGGGAACCCAATGATTTGCAGGGGAGGAATGGATGGGGAAGGCTTCGCGCCTGATACCATGAGTAGGACGTGAAGTCATCTGTTAGAGAGGGGCAGACATGATCTCCAATGATATAAATAGGCTAGCTGAATGATTAACTTTCGCTGATAACATCATTACTGAATCTTGCCTATTAATATTTGTACTCTGTGATATATTTTGGAACTTGAGTTCCGAAAGAGTTTTGGGTGGATAAATAGATAAACTTTAACAGAATGAAGAAATACTATGAATTAAAACAGCAACCAAAGGCCAGGAAAGTAAGACAATGTTTTACGTTACTGAACAAAAATAATGGATTGGGGTACTTATAGATCACTGATACTATCATTGCTAGTTTGTTCATTGGGAGTTCTCTGCCAATGCTGCTGGTCAAATTTGTCCTAATAACTCCAGCCTTAGTGAATTGGGGTCTGTCCAACCATAGACCAAGGGCACCCCCGTAGAAGCTCACGTGCTGCATTTTGTTCACACACGTAATCCTTCAACAATGCTTGAGAAGCTGGCAGTTTTGGGACTTTTGTCTGTCTAAATGCACGTAAGATTGTGTGTTAAATAGCAGAGATATTATGTCATGCCATATTTGTGCACACAACCATGTATTCTGATCTTGTTGAGCATCCTCACATGCACAGGGAATACATTGTATGAACTAGCTCACATGTTTGAGTTCCAGTGTTTTAGGGATGCCATGCAGAACCCCAGATTACTTGGGAATGTTCGTTGTCTTTCATGAGGTGTACATTTCACATGGGATCCAGCTTGATGCTCTGTATTCATCCTGTTGAATTGGTGTGATTTTTCAGGTGAGGTAGAAATAGAACCGGGTTTGAGGTGACTGAGCAGTAATATACCTGTCCTGCTATGGCAGCAGAAGAGCAAGCATTCTGACTTGACTCACAGAAGAGAGGCTCTGTCTTCACATGAGCTCAGAGCATACTACCACGTTCCCTCATCTTTTGGCACTTCATTATAGAGGGGGATTTTGAAAAAGAGAATTCTAGGAGTTTGCCAAGAGTGACACTTTCTGTTGAGCAATTCTGCAGAATGGTGCACTGCAGCGTTGGGATTTTCTGCACAGCCACTTGCTCCTGTGCATTCCATTGCACGTACTTCAGCTCCATGAGTTTTGATACTGACTGTCAAGATTGGGCAGTCCAACTTTTTCTTGGAAAAAAAGCCAAATAATATGTTCTCTGGAAATAATGCTGCTTTCCAAGCACAATGTCTGCCAATACTTTTGTGATAAAAATACTGGATTTGAACAATCATTATTGATTGTCAAGACAGTATATCCCCTCCTAGGATGCCAGATGTTCCAAATGCTCAAACCAAGCTTCAGTCTGTGCTGACATCACTTGTGTGGTTTCTGTTTTGTATTTGTATCTGTTTCCAAGATTTGTTGAAATGCATAAGGCTCAGTCTGCCATAAAGTATTTGTCAAGCTAGAAACAATGTGATCCAGGAGTACACTCCTGCCAGACCTTTGGTTGTTTTTCGTATTCAGCAATTCTCCATCCCCATGAACCTGAGCATGCATTTTAAAAGCTCCTGGGTTCAAAAGACAGTTCAGAGTCTTGTGCTAGCAATGGCTGAAAAAGTTGACA